AAATCTCTCAGTCAGAACATGCTATATCATGTTTAGGTGGAAGCTAGCGAGCTAACTTCCTGCTAACTTCTAACTCTGTTAAACTTCATAAATCCTGTTTTCATGGATGCCTGGATGTTAAACTTAATTGTTACACCTGGTAAAGCAGCAATGCTGATCATTTTATGAAAGGTGAAATAATTTAGACAGTTTGTAACTCTCAGTGATGCCGCAGTGTTCGTTTGACTTTGGGACCTGAAGCGGAGTTTGGACCCGGAAACGGCTAATGATGTCAGACTTAAAGCCCGGATTGTTTAGTTACATTAATATTGCACTGACATTCACGTAAAAACTCAAAAGTTGAAGACCCCTTCATTTGCATGTCCATGTCAGTTCACAGACACACAGAGTGCACACTCAGATTATCACAAGGCCAGCAGCTCAGAGCTGCTGTCGGAGCACGGGATGTGGCCTGTGATTTCAGTAGACGAGTCTGGGGAGGGCTACATGTTGCTGAGTGATAAAGCTGAGGGAGGAAGGGGGGAGGGTGAGAGGTAGCGCAGTCGAAAGAAATGAAATGAAATAATAAAACATGTTTTTCCCCGGAGAAAGAGCGGTTGAGATTGCACAGTAATCCCACAGCTCGGTGGGATGTGTGCGGGGTTTTGTGCATGTGGGTTACTCCGTGTTGGTGTGTGTCATCGTGTGTAAAGCTGTACATGTTTATCTGTCTTATGTGTGCGTACACGTGAGCATGCAGAAGAGAGTACGTATGAAGTTCGTGGTGGGACCACAGCTCTGTGGTTATTATTGAGGAGAAGGCTAAATGAAGAATAAAGAGTCCTTTTGAATTCTCTGGTGGAGGCCCGGGGGAGTCGAAGCATGGACTCACACACGCACACACGTATGAAGCAAAGACTGCTGGGAATAAACAAACGCCACTCTGAATCTGCATGAGTGAGGTAATGTGTTCGTGCATTCTGGAGTTTGATGTAGTTTGATGTTTGTCCCTGAGCAGAAACCAAACGACTCAGATATCGGCCATCTTGGTTGAGGGTGACAGATGGGACCATCTTGCCAGGAGTAGCTAGCTATGATGCTAGCTATAATGCTAGCTCGCTGTTAGCTTTGAATCAGCATGGAAAAAAGTTACTGAGAGGTGACGCTATGTGACAGACAAAAGAAAAAGATCAAAACACAGAAGACTCAATCCAAAATTGGCTTTTCAGTATTAATCTCCCGTTCACCCCAAAATATTGTTGAGAAATGATGGGATACGTGACAACAGCTCCTCATTAACCCTGAACACTCTTGATAGAGGGTTTCATGTCTTGTAGGAATAAAATGTTAGCTTTAGTGGACTTTGTGCTGAAGTTCATAACCAGGAAAAGGAAAAACTCAACTCAAATTTAAAGAAGATTTTTTTAAAATCAGCCATAGTCCTGCAAATTTCTCAAAGCATTTAAATTCTTGGTAAAAGTCTTATTGCTGTATTTCCTCAAATAAAACATTTACAGAATTAAATCAAATCAAATCAAAATTTATTTATGTAGCACATATTAAAACAACAGTGTTGACCATAGTGCTTCACAGTCAGTAAAAGCATAAGACAGTTAAAACAAACAATAAAAGAGGACAACAAACAATAGGTAACAACCAGCCAACTAGACAGAATCAAAAGCCAAAGTAAAAAAATAAGTTTTAAGACGTGATTTAAACGACTGGATCGACTTGGCAGTACGAATATGAACAGGGAGGTTATTCCAGAGTCTGGGTGCCACGGATGCAAAGGCCCGGTCTCCTCTCGACTTCATTCGAGTCCTAGGTTGTGCTGGGAGCCTGTGATTGGACGATCTAAGTGCTCTGTTGGGATTGTATGAGTGGAGTAGTTCAGAAAGATAGTTGGGCGCTAAATTATTCAGAATATTAAAAGTGAACAAAAGAATTTTAAAATCTATACGATATTTAACAGGGAGACGATGTAGTTTGGCTAAAATTGGAGTGATGTGTTCATAGATTCTCGTACCTGTTAAAAGACGCGCAGCTGCATTTTGAATTAACTGAAGCCGGCAAAGAGAGGAGTGTTGGAGCCCCGAGTAGAGGCAGTTACAGTCGTCCAATCTGGATGTAATAAATGCGTGGACAAGCTTTTCAAGGTCCTTTAAAGGAAGGAACGGCTTTGCTTTGGAAATCTGAATTAAATGTTGGGTCTCCCAAAACGAACGGTCACTATAAACATTTAAAGGCCTCTCCTACACGTCATCAAATTTGACTTTTCTACCTCTGGACTCTTCGATGTTTCACAAAAAGTTGTGTTTAAAAA